ACTGCCCCATATAGTGCTCCAGTTTATATAGGTCAACACCATTGTCAAGCATGCACGCATGCTCACGCTTGTGCCTCAAGATACGCGTACTAACACATGGTCATGCATGCTAATGCATGTCTGGTGGTCACTCTCTGCACAGGGTTATGAGCCATAGTATGTGCGTGTGCTCACACTGTTTTTTTATGCTGGGAAAAAAACCCGGACCTTTACTATATCTCCCCAATGGGGTATAGACGGAAATCAAACCATGAGAGAGAATCTAAGACATGTTTAAAATAAATAAATAAAAGCTTTGGCTAAAGTCGGGGTACAAAATACATATTTGGAAGCTCTTGACTGTCAAAAGACTTTTAATTCAGCCATTTTAGTAAGTAGTCACCACTGCTAGAGAGTACAACCAAATTCTTGACCTCTACTGCAGACATAGTAACAGTCCTTGATCAAGAACGTCTCCCCCTCTCACACGGCATGCCAATTTGACAATACAGAAACAGTAGTACACTGATAAGTCACTATCACTTTGCTCCCTCTGCTCTCCCCTCCTGTCAGCATATGCACACTGCAGCCAAGCCTGATTTGCTCCTAATATTGATCCTCCATCTCCCAATGTAAAGCTGGGCAGTCTTTCACTTTGCATTTTTCATTGTAAGAATGTTGTAAGAAAGTTAGTTCATTTTTAAAATCATTAAAGGGGTCAAAACAATGTTCGTTTTCAATCGCAGGAATGAGGAAAAAAGGAGCAGGATGGCAAATTTTTCTCAAATGTACAAATTTCTAACAGTGTATGTTGTTTTCGTTCAGTAAAGTCCAGTCATTCCAAATCAAATGTTAAAAGAAAACATAATCTTGAACTACTTTGGAGTGACATTCGAATGTATTGAGAATATTCGATATATTGAAATGTTACTAGTGTATACCCAATTTAAGTGCTGTTGTACAGCGATTACAAAAGAGTATTAAGCCTAGTTCAGACATTTGCACTAGTTTTAACAATACATGTCATGATTTTTTAGGAACTTCTAACTGCAGTAATGTGTGTTTTCCTTTGATCTGCCTGGAGTTCATTTTTAACAAGGTGTTGTGTTCAAAAGCTGTTATTCTACCACAAATAAGCTTTAACCTCCCTGGCGGTATGATTATTTCAGATTTTTGGTGCTGAAAGCGGTACCATTATTTTGCATGGAAATTTGGCGTTTTATATTGTAGGCCTGTAATTCTTAGGAATAACTCACTGAAATCTGTCCGAACAAGAGTCTAGTAAACATCCCAGGTATGATAAAATTTGAAACACGAAATCATAAATTATAATTTAATAAATAATCATAAAAAATAATAAAATAATAATAATAAATTTAATTCAATAATATAATCAAACCAAAAACACTGAAATTTGAAATATAGCGCCAAGTTCACACATCACTGAGCAAAGTCGCAAAATCGTTTTCAGTGTCTGATGACGAATTTCCCCACAAATCATTATCACTCAATTCTGCAAGTGGTTCTGATTTACTATCGCTGTTCTCTAGCTGGTCTAAAACTGCTTTTGACCTAAAGGGACACTTTTTGGACGCCATGGACATTTCTCAGTTTCCAGGTAGAAAGAACAGTAAAAATGTAGGCAGGGCACAGGACAAAGCACTCGGGACAAAATGTATGTGAAATGGTTTGATACAGTAATGTTTTACTATGTGATTTTAGTGATTTTTGTGAATGTCACTTTTTGTAATTTTCAAATTTCCCGCTGTTCCGTCCCCTGTACACTCGGGAATACCGCCAGGGAGGCTATGCAAACAGTTTAGAAATATTCAAATAAACATATTCAAACTGAACAAAATCTACATTTCCAACATAAACCATTATTATCGTATTTATTTATTTATTACAGGTATTTATATAGTGTCCTCAATTTATGTATTGCTTTACCTATATATTGCACATTCACATCAGTCCCTGCCCTCAAGGAGCTTACAATCTAAGGTCTCTAAATCACATTCAATTACAGGAATTGCTTGTAATATAGCATAATGGGGTGGTTTCAATAGTGATTTTCAGATATAGTTTCTGTCGCATTTGCCTTTGATGATCAGGAGATTGCAATTTTTCAAAAAAGACCGCAAACTCTATTGCTGATCAGCCCACTTTTACCCATTACTACCAGTTACGTAAAATAAACAAGATAGATAATTAAGTTTTCCCAAGCTGACGTGGAACAGATGTGGAATGTAAGTGGTCTTAAAAGAAAACCTAAACTCTCTGCTTTCCTAAATATAGCTAAGATGTCTGGCAGCCCCCTCTGCCCCTTCTCACCCACCTGGCTGACAGGCAGCCCCTGATGGTTTTACTGAGGGATTTTGGGGGTCTTTGAACCCTGAGATTAAGGTAATCCGTCTCTATTGACTGCAACTGACCCTGACTGGCTTAGATTTCTCTGACTTCCCAGAAGCGTCTGGCTTTCAGTTTTTTTCCCACTGATGCAGGTGGGGGCCTGTGAGGAAATGGAGGGTTCCAGGCTGCTGCCTGTGTAATCCCTGGAACCTGACCCAGCTCGGCATCCCTCCATAACATCAGTCTCCTGGGAGGATGGGAGGGAGCGAGCTAGGCTGGGTGGTCAGAGTGCAGGAGTGGGGCACCAGTGGAACATGTGCAGGGGAGCTGTCACCGGCCTGGCCGTGTGAAATGTGTCTGCTGTTTGTAGGCCGAGATGAAGGGAGGAAACTGGAACAGGCTGATATAAGAGAAGGCTTTGGAGTCTGGTCAGGCTGACTTATCTCAGCAGATGTGGTACTCTGTGACAAATGATTTGTTCATATATAACAGCCATTACTATCCGGTTAAAATCCATCTAACGAATGTTTCCGTTTTACCTGTTCTGACTAAAACTCAATTTAACCCATTTAGAGCCGTGTTGGGGTGGCGGTGACCTAAGGCAGACATTTTTACACTTCATCCCCATGATAAAGATGGCTGGGCAGTCAGCTCAATGACAGGAAGCCCATTTAATTGGTATAAATCTTCTGCCTGGCCACTCAAGCCTTAGCATGCCCGCCAACTTGTGTGCATGAAGCAGCCACTTCAAATGGCCTAGTTGACAGTACATCCCTGAGCCCAGTGATGTTTCATCAGGATACATGTCACTGAAGAGGATTGGTCGCTGCACCTGCCTATGTGCGTATCGCTGAGAGGCTGAATCAATTGCCGCTCCCGGATCTGGGGGGATCCCGACTTTAACCTCTTCACGCCGGCCGAACGCAAATGTGCGGCCTCCCGGCGTCTAGGCCTTGACACCGAGCGGCCGCACAATTACGTTCTATTAAAAAAAGACATGTGCTGAGAGCAAGCACCCTGCGCACTCCCAGCACACATGTCCGGTACTCACGGAAAGGTCCCGATCTCCTCTTTCGATCGGGACCTTTCCCGATCATGTCACGGCGTGTCACGGCGGTCACATGACCCTAAACACCACCCCGCCTCCCAGCTTCTGAAACCCTTAAAGGGCTGGGAGGCGCCGGCATGAAGGGGTTAAAGCCAGAATATTTCCCCGGACCTGGACCGGCTGAGTGACATAAACCGACAGCAGACTTTAGCCCATTGTCAGCTGAAAATGGGTCACAGGAGTGCAGAACAAACCACAATCCTGTGATCCACAGAAGTACAGCCAAACGAGCTTTGACTGTACTTCTCCTTTAACTCCTTTGACAGGTAAAACCATACATCAATTGTGTATAATGCTGTATGATGAGAGTTTATCATCAACCCCTTCCTGCCCAACCCCAGCATGCCAATAACTGGGCAATTACACCCAGGACAGTAAGGTCTGAATGATCACAGAACCATTGTGATTGGCTGTCACAGAAGTCACATGATCTGGAGCCAGTCCCACCAGCTCCCGATCTTTATTAAAAAAACAGGAGCAAACTCTCAGTACAAGATCTTCTGCCGCCCATGGACACATATGCCACCCACCGTGCCCCTACACATATGTATTATGTGGGTGGCAGGAGGTAAAGTACATGTGTTGCTTTACCTAAGCGTTTGCTAGAGACAATTTAAAAAAAAACATTTCCCCATGAATTCACATTTTGTTATGCCTATTCATAAAGTCACCAATTTATACCAGTCAGATCTGGTTACCAGAAATACTTTTTGTGTCTTTTTTTTACTGAAAATTTCATATTTTGTCCAAATCAAGCCTGCAGTAATCTTCTATTTTTAGGAAAATGTCATAAGCAAAGCATGGTGGATTCCCATTGCTGACCTTTCTCTTTTAAATGCTAGATGGCTGTGGCTGGGTGACTGAATGGTGACAAGCTTGCAGCAAGTGGTCAGAATTCCTGCTAAGCATGCTTGATCCAGGTCAGTGACTCAGAATATAAGCACTGTAACAGCCAATAGCCAAGCAACTAGTCATTTCAGAAGCGAATCAGAAGCCAATGAGATTTATGAATAAAGCAGAATTTTTCTCTGTCAATCAACATTGACTATTTTTTATTGTTTATGCTGCTAGCATTAGTAAATAGATAGGAAAGTATGTCATTTTACATTTAAAACTTTTTTTTACATTTTTTCAGTTACTTCCTGGTTTCCAGGCCTAGGAGAATGGTGTCATATATCCCAGGAATCTTCAGGAGGGGAGGAGGGGTTTTCTCAGTTAAGCACACCCTCCAGCCTGCATGCCTGAGCTAAGGGCAGATGAATTACAGGAAGTAATTGCTACATGAATCATCTGCCCTTACTCAAGAAGGCCACATCCAGAAATGCTAGGGGTGTTTTTCAAAGTGATTTCTCAGCAAAATAATGCATGGAGACATGGATGGTGGACGAGTTTGCATTGAATATTAAAAAGAAATGAAATAGCATTTTTGCTTTGTGGTGCTCAGATGCAGTGTAGTTCCGCTTTAAGTGGACCTCCCGGCTACCCCACCAAAAAAATTAAAGTCAGCACCTACAAGTACTGTAGCCACTGACTTTTAATATTAGGGCACTTTCTTGTAGGGATCCAGTGGTGTCCTCACCCCCAGCCGCTTCTTCAATCAGCTATCAGGTGCTGGCTTGACTTTGGGAAACCAGCAATGAAGCGTTGTGCCTTCACAGCTGTTTTTTTTACTGCGCATACGTGAAGCGTGCTGCACTTTGTGAACGGGCAGCAGTCTTCTGGGACCTGTGAAGTGTCCCAGAGGGCCGCGAGGGGAAGGAGAGGGGCCGAACCTCTGGCTCAGTTCGCCGTGGCGAACGGAGCCAGAAGTGGGAGCAGGTACCTGTCAAAACCATGTACCTGCTCCCCCCTCCCCTGAAAAAAGGTGCCAAATGTGACAGTGGAGGGGGGCAGGCAGATAAGTGGATCCTCCACTTTTGGTGGAACTCCACTTTAAAGCGGAGCTCCACCCAAAAGAGGAAGTTCTGCTTTAAAAACTGGTCCCCCGCTCCTCATTAAAGATTGGCACCTTTGGGGGGCGGGGGGAGCGGGTACCCGAATTTGACAGGTACCCGCTCCCACTTTCACTTCGATCACCTAGGCGATCGGAAGTGGAAGGTGTCCTCTCTTCCTCCCTCCCTGTAGTCTTTTGGGACACTTGACAGGTCCCAGAAGACTACAGGCCCATTCAGGACGTGCAGCGCTACTCGCTTATGCGCAGTGGGTACCCGGCTGTGAAGCCACAAGCTGTCACAGCCGGCTGCCCACACTGAAAATGCCGGCACCCAGGGAGAGAAGACGGCCGGTAAAACGGGCTGCAGGGGACACACCGCAGGACCGAGGGACAGGTAAGTGGCTGTTTTTTAAAAGTCAGCAGCTACAGTTTTTGTAGCTGCTGACTTTTATTTTTTGACAGCGTGAGTGGATCTCCGCTTTAAGCACATTTTTATGGGAAACATGTTAAAACCTTCTTGGAAAATCACAGCATTTTGTGAATGAATTCTAATAAATCCTCCAATGCTTTTACAGCACAGATTTCAATTCAATATATTAATGGTATTCAATATCTATAGCAATGCTGACCAATCGCAAACCAAGTAATAATTTTTTGTGATTAAAAAAAAGGAATTTATAGGCTTTAAATTGCTCTCGGCTGATCAGATGAACATGGAAGACATGGAATACAATGAATTCTTAAAGCCATAGACATCTCCAGTGACAAAGTTACAAATGCATGGACAGTCACTGGAATTTCAAGACAATAGCGGCCAATTCATTTTGAATAGACTGCCGACATACAGTAGTACATTACCTATTTTACTGGACAAGCACCATTTTTTACAATACACCATGAAGCACACAGTTCACATCAATGCACTGTGATCTACTAAAATGCAAGAAATGGCTCAAAAGGAATGGCCCCACAAACCACATTTTTCGTGGATTCATGTTGAATGCATGAAAAAAAAAGTTCATACCTATTGCATGGAAATACACAACAGTGAAATGCATTTTATGTGGGTTATCAATAGGAATGTGCTTGGGTTCAGCTCCACGTACAGTTTGAACCCAAGCTCATCACTAATTATCAACTATGCGTTTTCATGCTCTACTAATGCCATTAATAGGCCCTCACATTGATGCATTAAAAACAGGTAATACTCATCAATGCATGTCAAAATGTAAACTAGCACTGGTTATAACAATGCCCAACTTGTGTACTTGCATTGATGTGTATAATGTGTTAAAACACATAGGTGTAAATGTGCCCTTACTGTGGTCACCTATGTTTTGACACACATTACCATAACAGGTATGTGTGAATGGACCCACTACAATATTACTGAATGGACAGTTGAATTGGATCTTAATGCTAAATTGACAAGTGGTTTAGGAAATGGTTATTGTACACCATTACATGGCATATGGCTCCCCCTAGTGTTTATCTAGTAAACGGTCAGGAAAAGTGCAGTCTTGCAAGGGAGAAACCAAACAGAAAAAACGTGTATTGACCCCTATGTGATCAGTGTAACCAGGGTCAGGTTATCTTCGTATTCGCTATGTGCAACCTATATTTGTAACCCATATGATTGCCAAGAGAGCCTTTCTGTGGAAGGCATGGATGGTGTATCTAATTGAGGCATCCTTTGCTGGGTCTTCTGTCCCTCTTCTCTCATGCTCAGCATTACAGTGATGGAATTTGTTTGTCATTTGTAAGATGTGAAGTGACTGCACACTGTTAGCTTCTGATTGCCAGCAGTGGTCAGCCAGCAGCTGGCAGAATGTGTATTGCATGTACAGGCGTATCTTGGTTAATGTAATTTTCGGTTTATAATGAAAATCCGTTGAAAATAATGGCTCGATTTACAATTTTTTTTTCACAAAACGAATGGATTAATTGATGTTCAGTGCATTTATAAATTTTTTTAATCATGTCCCTGTACAGTACTATGCCTTTAAAGTGCACTTTATAAAGAGTTTTGAACAGATAAGACTTTTTTTTACTTTTTTCTGACCTCTGGAACGGATTAATTGGTTTTCAATGCATTTACGAATTTTTTTTAATCCTGTTCCTTTATGCCTTTAAAGTACACTTTATAAAGAGTTTTAAACAGATTATTATTATTATTATTATTATTATACAGTATTTATAAAGCGCCGATAGTTCGCTCAGCGCTGTACATTACAAAGGGGGACAGAACATGTGACAGAACAATACCAATACAATGCAAAACATGAGGGGTTCAAGGGCCCTGCTCTTTCGAGCTTACAATCTAGGAGATAAAACTTTTTTTACTTCTTTCTGACCTCCGGAACGGATTAATTGGTTTTCAATGCATTTACAAATTAATTTTTAATCATGTCCCTGTACAGTATTTATGCCTTTAAAGTGCACTTTCTAAAGAGTTTTGAACAGATGAAAGACTTTTTTTTAACTTTTTTTCTGACCTCCGGTTTTCAATGCATTCCTACGGGAAACTGCATTTCGGTTTACAAATATTTCGCAATATGAAAAGTTCTGCAGAACGAATTAAATTTGTAAACTGAGGTATGCCTGTACTTTTTCATAATCCGGGGGGGGGCAAAGTCTATAACAGAGATTGTGGCTCCTCCCACCACTCTACAAGTCTTAGGCCAGCTCCCCAATTCTTCTGTCTCTGCATGTTGAGATCGCACTAGAGTCTTTAGTCCTCTCAGAACCTTCATTAAAAAGGACGGGGCCCCATACAGCCTACATGACAGGGACCGCCCCCGTCCCAGTGTCTCCCAATCAACCTTAAGCCCCTCCACTCCTCACCTGGTGTCTTCCCAAATACTACAGAGGGTTGCTGCAAACACGGAGGCAGGGAGCTACTCCAGATTCCTCTGTGAACGCAGTCCAGCATTCCATGCTCGGGGCCCACACCAGGACCCCCCTGCCCTTGAAAAGAGCGATTGAAAAAGGTGTTTTGTTCCTATCAATTTTGTAGGAATAATAAAATAAAGGAATAGTGAATTTAAAAAAATGGGGACATGGATGATTTAATTATTAACAAGATAATAATAATAATAACAATAATAATGATAATCCAAATGAAAAAAAGTATCATCTGGCGAAAGGATATAGAACTTCACAAAAATTGTAGCCATGGAACTTTTGGGGCATAGAGTGAGTGGCACAGGAAAGTTTATTTATCTAAAACCAACTGATGTATTAAATATATATAAAAACAATGTATAGCACAATGTCCAGTATTTTTAAATAGGGTTCACAGACCTTTTTTTATTTCAATATCCATATGTCAGCTTAATGCATTTCAAGTGCTGGAACCTCATTACCAGGAGCACATGTGACCAGTATCTGGAATATAACATATGATTACAGATGCTATAACAAACAATGAAGGATAAAGAGAATAAGGGTCTCAATAAAAAATTCTCATTAGCCATACAATAGAACCTGATGTCATCAAATCATAAGCTTTTATTATGGTTTGTTGGAATAGAAATGATTCCTTCCAGAATGCGGGCATCCAGGGGACAAGATGATACTCCGGGTACTGAAAACAGGATGCCATAGATAAGAAACAGAAAATGTATTCAGAAAGAGAAAAGGAAAGGGTCAATGAAAAATCCCCGGCAACCAAACAGAGTACAACTCATGAGACAAACATGAACTCCAAATTTTAAAAGATATTTAAGGTAGATTCATTTCACCCAAACAGAGACTCATACCCTTTTATGTAGAGGGTTATATTTTTCAGTGAAGTGGTCGCTTTTAACTGTGTGTGTGGGTAGAACTGCAGTTAGACTTTGTGAATGGTATTGATCTTCATTCTTCAGCCTTGTTGTTGCACAGAAGGTTTGATGAGAAGATAACACAAGCCGCAGTGGCTGCATGATCCGAAATGCAATGTGTACATTCATCTGATTTCATGAAAACTTCATGAAGACAGGAGTTAACTCCTCAGCTGTATGGAGAATTTGATTCCCAAAAATGTGTGGCTCCAAAAAAGGGGGTTGATTGGTATCACAGAAACCATTATTTGTCAGGCAGTAATGGCTTCCCATCCTGATTGGCAGAGTGTTCTACTAAGACCCTTGACTGACACACTGGCAGGGTTCTCTGTGTAATAAGATCAGTAGAGAAGAACAGATGGATAATGAAGTCCAACCCAAAAGGAGCTGAAGTCTGGTTTGGCTGAGTCCTGAACAGCAATGTGCAATTTTTAACTGTAAATGCAATCCAAAGTTAAAACTGATTGCTGTATTTGAAGTCAGGAAGGAATTTTTTCCCTCACTTGAGACATAATTGGGCAGAACATTCTCTGAGGTTTTACCTTTTATTCTACAGGCCAAAGGTTCATAAACCAGACTTTTTGGAGCCTCAGATTTTGATGATATATTAGTCCTAAATCATAAAGTATTTAAACTGCTTATCTGACTGTTACTATTGAAATAAGTATATTTCTAAACTTAAAATTATACTTTTGGTATCTTGTGTATGTAGCGCTACCTTCTTGAGGGTCGCTGAATTTTGCTGGGTCCCCCTAAGCTCTACACAGCCAGGAAACACATATTTTTCCACACCTTGAGCTTGGTGTTTGTTTTATTTTATTAGGGGTTAACAACTTGGATAGGGTCTAGGGCAGGGGTCCTCAAACTACGGCTTGCGGGCCACATGCGGCCCGCCGAGGACATTTATCCGGCCCACCGGGCAGGGGCGTATCTGCCGCGAGGCAAGGGACTAGGGTTTGGCAGCTCAGGAGAGCTCGGGCGAAAGACAGGAGGGCGAGATCAGCAATTCTAGAACAGGGGAAGGTGGGCTCGGCTTATGAACCCGCACCACTCACCTGGCCTCTCTGTAACCAGCCGGCCATCTATTCTGATCAGTGCATGCAACCGTCAGGGCCGGAGGGTGGAGCCTAGAGCTGACCATGAAGAGGGGGAGCAAGAGAGGAGACTCCATCGCTGCATGTTGGGTATCACGGCCACGGACCCTAGATAAGTGCAATAGATGATTGATCTCCTCCCTCTCTTTCTCCCCTCCTCTCTCCTCTCTCTCTCCCTTCCCCCTCCTCTCTCTCCCCCCTTCCTCT